TCATAATAGCGTATATATTAGGTTATTTGTACCTTCAGATTCACCTTTATTTATACCTTATGTTCCTTTGTTACAACTATCCCTAGATGGTCTATTGTTTTCATATGGCTTAGATCTACTATCATATAAGTGTGTATTTTTCCTTGTCCTGGGCTTTTTGTGCATGACCGTTATAAATCCATCATCTACTTGTTCTACCACATTACTCTCTTTTGCTTGTATTTGCACATATTCATGATCAACATTCAACATATTTATACCCATGCTCTCCGTACGCTTCTGCACCTATTGAATTACTTCTTTTAGATCTAATTAGTCATTTAGCCCATCTTGTTGTAGGTCTGTGCTTATTTCGATTTGCTGTATTGTATTATTTGGTACTTCTTGCTGATTTTCTTCATTTCTATCTTTTTCCAACAAAGTTTCAAGAGATTCGTCTTTCTGGGATAGCATTTTCACATCTTTCTCAGCTGCAATATCTTGTACCAAAACATCCAATCTCTCACTGCTTTCGATATCCTACTCTTTATCGGTGTTGTTTTCATTCAGATTATTACCACCTGACCTTTCTTGTTTATGTCTTTTGGCTTCCTTATATTTTTTATATTGTTTCCTTAGCTCTATTGCTTCTTTATATTGTTGGCAGTCCCTTTTCAGATGCTCTTGTTGATCGCAGTAAAAACAAGTTCTAGAAGCCGTCTTCCACTCTGTCATGACTTTTTGGCCCCATATACTTGTATGTCTTGGAATTTTTTGTTCTAATTCTGGGTCCTCCATTGTTTCATATAAAATTATCCATTGGTCCGTGCAGACCGGGGTATCTTCATACACCAACGGTTTAATCGATTTAATAGATCCAAAGACCTCAAAAGCTTCCTTTAATTTGTTGGATATAAAATCCTTATCACCGATTGGAACATTTCTCACTTTTATTGCCAGGTGTGTTCTTCTCAGGTTTGTAGATATGTAACTCAGTAATGATCTTTTAAAAAGGGAGATACCTTCTTTTGTATAATATTGTTGTCTATCCTCACTTCTAAATACCAGTTCTAAATGTGTTTTTTTCCTCTTAGTATCGTGAGGTTTTGCCCCAACTAGATCATTGCCTATTTTACTATATAAAGTAGAGATAATATCATTTATTTGTATGTCATCCAAACTATGAATATCAAAGATAAGTGCGTTATTATTCTTTGTTGTAATTTCCACTCTTGGTGTATATTTTGAAAAAGTTGTTTGTCCCCGTCTTAATTGTGTAAAGAGGCTGGTCCATTTCTTGGGGGTATATGTTGGTTCACTTGATTGTGCATCTGCTATCGTTTTTTCCAATTCTAAACTGTTAATCACGTTTTGTGGCTTAGAATCCACATCTACTACTATAGCGTTAGTATTATATGATACCATTCTGCTTGATTCCGATTCTGCGAACTTTCTGGAACCTTCTATGTTGTCTTTACTTCCAGGTGGTGTTTCAAGTATAGACATGTCTTTTTGAGACCTCTCTTCTTCAGTTATATTAAAACAGTTATTGACCATGTTTTTTTTGTCCTTCAGCGTATTATTCTCCTGTTTATTTATCTGTTTTGCAGAATCCAAGTTTTCTTTGTCGCCAGTTTCATCTTTCGATTTTGGGCTATTTTCGTGAATTTTTCGTCTTTTTTCACTCAAATTTTCAGTTCTCAATTCCTCCATCTTTCTTTTCTTTGTTACCAGGGCCTCTGCCCTTGGTGAGATATTTTTGTCACTATAAACTTTAGTCTCTTTTTCTATTTTGACTATTTTTTAGACACTCGATCACTGGTATTGGAAAGAGTGTCTGTCGATCTTTTTTCCGTCAACTGATTTAAATGTAACTCAAGGTTCCAAAAAATCGATGAAGTGTTGCGAAAGCTTTTCTATACATTCATATTTTTGAATACCGACTTATAAAAGATTTGCTAACACCTAAACGTTTGATATTTTTCGAATCAATAAGCATTCTAAAGTTTTTTAATCATAAAGTTTTGGAGTTCGAACTTCGGAAGAGGTTTCGGAAGGAATTTCAGGTTTCGGAAGAGGTTTCGGGTTTCGGATAGGGTTTCGGGTTTCGGGTGAGGTTTCGAGTTTCGGATGAGGTTTCGGAAACTATAATCCGAAACCCGAAACTTTCAGATTTGGAAAAAGGTTTCGGTGACCAACTCTAACCTGGGAACTCCCTCGAAATCAAGCTCAGGAAGAACAAGATAATTTGTAACTTCGTTATTATCTTGGTTTGTGAGCTTGATGAAAAAACTGATTTAATGAACCCTTTGCAGTTAGCTTGTTTTCATTTCGAATAGTTACAAAACCTAATTTGGATGTCGATGAAGTAACTTGTTTAGATAAATAGTGCCGCTCCTTATTCTGCATATATAGCACATAAAGTTTCTTCAACTTGATTCGCTCATCAGTCGATAAAACACGTAATCTTTTGCATTTTGGGTCCAATTGAGTTTCTTTTAGTCAATTTGAAAAATTTATTAAATAAAATTTTATGAAATTGTTATTTATTAATCAATCAAAAACTTATCACTATCAAAACTTATAGTTAAATTTTAATTTGACTGATGCTCGATGATTGAATGAGTTTAAAACTCAATGAATGAAGTTTATTTCTATGTTCGAAATTTTCGATCGATGTTCGAATAATTATTCACCGATTCCACTCTCTACTCCCTTGTCGTAACAACACCCACCGGTTCCGACCTCTAATTCCGACTCATCACACACCTTATATTTATTTATAGGGATATGGCTGATGTGCATATTTAATAAAAATAGTATATTGTGTTCGGTTATAAATGCTAGTATGCACGTACGTACGT